GACTCTATTATGTACTCTTGGTAATATCCAGCAGCTGCAGATAACAGTATGTGCTACTGAAGGAAACACCACTTGCCCCCACTACTACTACTACCTCACCTGTCAGGTAACCTGCTGTCGTGCTGTTAGAGATGAAGAGGTCATGCTTCTGCTCCTTGTACTCTGACCACACGCTCGACTTGTCCAGAATGGCATTGATCTGCATAGATGTGAGAGACCACACTATTAACCACACGAGGTCTAGAGATGCGTAATATATGCACAATATATAAACATAATGCGAAATATGTAGTGAAAGCGTAATATATAATCATAATGCAAAATATGTAGTGAATGTGTAATATATAATCATAATGCGAAATATGTAGTGAATGTGTAATATATAATAATAATAAAAAATATATAGTGAAAGTGTGATATATAATCATAATGCAAAATATGTAGTGAATGTGTAATATATAATCATAATGCGAAATATGTAGTGAATGCGTAATATATAATCATATACTGCAGGAGAGCATGAACGCTAACGATATCGACTTTGTTTCATGAGATGATTTGATCTTGATCGCAAGAAATCGCATGCGGCAGTCACAAGAGCAAGCAAGGGGTAATTGCTGTTGTCACTCATTACATACCAACGTGTGAAATTAGTACTATATTATCTTCAGTTCGTGTATTTGTATTTGAATTACATGCAATAAAGATTTAATAATAATAATATTATTTTTCATTGTGACTAGTCGCTGAAGCACAAGTGACAGACGTGACATTTCTCACCTGGTCACCAAACCTGAGGCTCAACGCCATGGCTTTGAGAGCCTTGACGATTTGAGCTTTCGTGCCTGCTGGGTTTTCCACCTCAGGCAGCCCCCCGTCCAACAGACCGAGTAAGTAGGACACCAGCTCTACCTTTAAGGCCTGAAATGTGAAATATTGAAAAGCTGTTATTATATTACATAAGGTGCAAACCTGCAGAATTTTACTCACTGATTTGGTTTAGTTTCTTTGTTACTGTCATTCCGTATTGGAATTCTCTCCCTTACTCTTTAGTAAATTGCAAATTTGAGGCTTTTTCTACTGCAATCTGCAGTGTTGATCTGTGTATTTGATCAACTCGATCGTCTCGTTCCGTCTTCTGTGTAGTCCTGTGTTGGACTTTGAAGACTATTATTTACGAGGTTACGAGGTTACTGGTATCAGCTTAATCTGCGTGGACACCATTAGCAGACACTAGCTGCAGGTAGTTACTGCATATTTCTTACAAATTTCTTACTTATATTATTCCAATAGGCTATAAAGCACATTTGAGAAACCTGCCTTATCTGTTAATTAGGTGGCACCATCATACTGATTCTCTTTAGAACATGAATCAGGTGCATATAAAGATAGTAGGCTTATATGCATATGTCTATTATAAATATATGGTAAATAACATGGGTCAAGTGTATATGAAGACTGTAGGCTTATATATGTATGTATATGTCTATTATAAATATATGTATAGGCTCCACTGCAGCTGTGCGACTGTTGCAGGAGCCCTTCCCGGCTAGATCAGAGCAGCCTACCTGTTGGACAAGCTCGTCCTGGTCCTTCTGGAAGAGCTTGTTGATTGTCTCACACGCGAGACCAATCATGTCGCGTCGCACCTTCATGCCGATCTTCAGCGGCCCTATACAGTCTATCTCCGCCATCGACCGTATGCAAGTCTGAAACAACGATCGATGGCCACCACGTGATAGGTGCAATGATATACAAGTGCATCCATCGTTTACCCCTCTTTTATTCATTGAACTAGCACACGACCCGTCAAAATGATCGATTGCAGGTAATGCCGTAGCGACTTTGCTCCGGTATGAACGTGGGTTGTTCAGTTAGCACGGACCTCTCTGAAGAAGTTGTGATGTCATCTGTGCTTATTTGGATCTAAGCCTGCATGGGGGCCGTTGTCAGAAACATCGTAAAGTTATTGCTAATGTTAATCCTAAGATAGCACTTACGACTAATGTTGAGACACTGTGTATGCTAATCAAACGTGCTAGTAGTATACTGTTCCAGAATAGAGCTTACTTCATTATTGGCCAACTGGTGCGTAACCATAATGGCTGCTTTTGATATGGCCCCATTTCTGCTGGTCATCGCTTGAAATATTTGTGGAATGTGGCCAAGACCTGGTACCTACAAATTCAAACAACGCATTTTGGGAGCAGCTGGTGCAGCATATAAATATATAATTAAACAATATATATATATATATATATAGAGATAGATAGATAGATATAGATAGATATAATATGTATGTAATATGTGAAAGCTCCAGTACCTGATCACAGACGTTTGGTTGCGCAGAAAACAAGCATACACAAGCTTGAGTCACCACTTCTAGCATTTCCCCCTGAAACAGTAGACCAGAGCGAAATGAACATAGTCTGGTCTGCTGATATAATAACCTATGGTGACATTGTAAACTATGCACAAACGATCACCATGTTATGGCAGCAATATCATCCACTTTTATAAAATTGTACTTGCAACAAACTGCATTTATTTCATGGCCATATACATATTGAATCGTTTGACATTGACACCTTCGATGGCTGTGTAACTAGTGCTTGCAAGCGTTTGGTATCGTCATGGCGATGGCACAAAACTATCCCTATAACAGCACATCATCATGGCTGCGTGTGCCAACACCAGAGCCACGCGTGTACCATTAGCAAACTAATATCAATACATGCTGCATACATACAGACACATTGTCAACATATTTCTTATGGTATAGACACATGAGCAATGAATAGATTAGAATAGAATAGAATAGGCACACCGTCGCCTCCCGCTGCCTGCTCGCTCGCCTCGCCCACCCCACCCCCCCTCAATCCCACTGCCCTCGCGCCCATGCGCTCGCACTCACGTCAAACTTCTTGCTGCCGCACAGCTCGATGAACTTGTTTAGGAGCTCGCTCGTGAACTCACGCACGCGCCGCAACACCCAGCCCGGGTTCGAGATGAAGATGCGCAGGTAGACGTCACCCAGCATCAGCTCGCCTCGCACCTCTGCGTACAGCACCTCCATGTCCTCCTGAAACTGTTGCCGGGGAAACGACGTCCCAGAATGCACCACCGATTATCGAACATCCGTTCGTTTTTTTATTATTTATTTGTTGTAGATTTTATGATCATCGAACATGCGTTTGTATTTTTTTTATTTATTCGTTGTCGATTTTATGATCATCGAACATGCGTTTTTTTATTTTATTTACTCGTTGTCGATTTTACGATTACGCTCATCTTAATTGTATCTGTTTGCGTTGATTGCATTTAGGATATCTATGGACTGCGGTCTTGCTACGCGTGTGGGTAAAGCTGTGTGACTCGTCACGATGTTCAGGATATGAATTGCCTTTAATTTTCAAACGTAAATGATTTGCAATGTTTACTCACCTTCCATGCTATATCTGGGTTCTCCATCTGAGCTAGGTGATGCCTGCCGAAAGATAAAACGTCAGAATTCATACGCTGTTGGTCTACAGAACAATTAGCTGTGAACTACTTGTAAAGACTACAATGACCATAGTCGTGCGCACACGCACTCACGCACGCACGCACGCACGCACGCACGCACGCATTCATGCACACACGTAGCATTGTCATGACTTAACTAGAGTAACAACAGTTACTGTCACAAGAAGTTTTACTTTTCTCTAGGCAGCAGCAAAAAACAATGCTGTAAAGATTTACAATAAGTGTATAAAGACGCTCTACCTCATCGTCATCTCCTTCACTGTCCCCATCACCTTCCGTCGGACATTGTCATTCCAGATCAGTTCTGGGTTCTCATGGACACCTGCACACAGAAATGATGATGATCAACAGATGGCAGCACTAGCCTACGCACACATAACAACCTAGCAATCGTCACCTACTGATATTCGTGCACCGCGACCGATACTTTCAGCGTAGTAGGGATAGTGTGAATCATGAGTGATAAACGTTCATCAAAACCCTGAGTTTTCACGTTCGACACTGTCACAGAATTCACTACGGCTGCAATAAAATATCATCTCTCGAGTGTTCCAAATCTTAGAAATCTAGAATCTCAGAATCCACAGCTTAATTGAACATTAAGCAATAGGGGGATGGCGCAATTACGAGCAATGCACATGTTTGCCATCTTGAGACCATATTGCCGATAGTGTGCACATCCAGCGCACTCACGCACGCCGGCACGCCAGCATTCATGCAAGCACACGTAGCCATTGCATGACTTAACTAGAATTAACAACAGTTTAGCTGTCACAAAAGTTTACTTTTCTTCTAGAGGCAAGAAAAAACAATGCTGTTAAAGATTTACAATAGGTCGTATAAAACTCTCTACGCTCATCGTCATCTCCTTCACTTGTCTCCGCATGCACCTTCGTCGAACATTGTCATTCAGATCAGTCTGGGTTACTGCATGGGACACCTGCACACGAAATGATGAATGAGTCAACAGATGGCAGCAGCGAGCCTACGCACACATAAACAACCCTAGCAATTCGTCACCTACTGAATTCGATGACAGCCGACCGATACTATCAGCGTAGTAAGAATAGGGAGTGTGAATCATGGTGATAACATAATCAAAACCCCTGCGAGTTTTCACGTTTCGACACTGTCACAGAATTTACCGGGCCTGCATAAATATCATCTCTCGAGTGTTCCAAATGCTTAGAATCTAGAACTCAGATCCACACTTAATGAACATTAAGCAAGTGGGGGATGCGCGATTACGAGCAATGCCACATCGTGTGCTATCTGAGACATTATGCCGTGCGGCTCGAGAATACTGCGCGGCCCGGGGGGGGGAACGCACATCCGCATTATTAAAGGTACTGGGGACGCTGCCGTGGATAGGGTTATTTTTTTTCGAAACATTTTTTTTCCATTTTAAATTGGCCAACAAGGCGTTTATCTAGATACTCGGCAAGCAAGCTGATATGTCGTCGCAACATTGGCAAAACAATATTGGGCCAATATCACCAAGCAAATATTGGTCCAATATATGCAGATAATGGTCCAACATCGGCCCAACATTGGCAAAAACAATCATTGGCAATATCACCAGGCCGATATTGGCCATATAGCAAGGCCAACATAGGTCCAATATGAACACTTAGCGGCCACGGCAATATCGATTACTTAGCATAGGCAGTCCATGACTTGCGGTCCCATGATAGACATGTCCGTACCAGTTCTGAACACGTTAGCTGTCATTAGCTGCTATAATGTTTATTGAAACCATACAATCTTATACTCCGATTTCTGAAGTCAGTAGTAAGGTGGAACAATAATTGGATTAGGTACAAAACCAAAAGTGTGCAATATGCAACCACGGTATACTTTTAGTGCAGCCCATTGGGAAGGAGTGGTATATTTTAGAGTGCAGAGCGGTTTGGCGACAAGAGGAAATCAGCCTATCTTCAAGGCCTCCACGACACCCCCCCCCTACCGCCAGCCTGTCCAAGGCAGCATGCCCCCCCCCCCGGGATGGGGCATTGCCGTCGTCGTGCGAAGAAACCGAGG